AGGAATGCTACAAGTATAGCCCCATCCACCTGAGCATCATGGGCAGTGGGTTTCATCTGAATTAATCTTGGAACTAGTAGGAATTTTGGGATATCCTGGCTTGATGTATCATGCGAGCGAGGTTCTGCTTTAGCTAGGTCAGCGATGAGCATTCGAGAAAGCCACGAGACAAAACAGCAGCGGGGAGTGATCATAGAGGTCAAGAGACAGAATCGAAAAGAGGGATGGCAAAGAGAAAAGGGTAAACGGGCCGGGATGCCGAAAGAAACAAACTGCACATACCATATCGCTGATTATTTACGACGCCGGCAAATATCTCCTCTGGCTGCAAGCCCATGAGTACCCTCGTTGGAGGAGCATAAAACTGTCGTGAGAGATATTGCCGGCTGTAACCACTGCTGCTCACGGCGCCCATCCAACCGTGACCAACATGTGCGCATCAAACCGACATGATGTCGTCTGAATGGCTCAACAGCCGTGTAGTCCTTGAGGGCGAAAACAAAGGCAAAATCAAAACGCTAGACGCGACGAGGCAAGAGAAAGCAAGATATAAGGTGCCTGCCAAGGTCATAAAGTAGAGTAAACAAAAGTCAACTCCTCAATGCTGCCACAACAATACGCCTAGTCTCTAGCCTCCTCCGCTCCAGGGCTGCGACTCCTATCGCGGCTCCTGCTGCGTCCCCGTCCACCACGGCCACCTCTTTGTCCAGCATTCTTTCCTTTGTTGTTCGATGGGGGTGGCCGCACAAAGGCGAAGTCGACCTGGATTGTCTGGTCCAGCAATTTGGATCCGTTCAAAGCCTTGATGGCTTCTGAGGCTTCGGGGAGGGTGGAGTATTCAATCAACGCGTAACCCTGAAAGAAGCCGATTAGTATTTCATCTCATGTCCGATAACAGTGCAATTAATCCAAATGAACCTGGGATTTATCCAGCAAAGTCCAAGAATGAAGCCTAGGCAGACGAAGAACCAAAGACACCTACCTTCACATAACCCGTCCGGCGATCGAGGTTCAGATTGAAGTTCTTGATCTCTCCATATTCAGCAAACAGATCCGTCACGTCCTCCTCGGAGGCCTCTTCATGAATGTTGGTCGCGATGATAATCCATCCTTCGATACTGCGCACTGCAACAGCTGACGCTTGCGTTCTCGGATCAGAGGTATTGTTGCCCGACTGCGCGGGGACCTCCACCTCTTCCTCCTGCGCCACGGGAGGATCGACTTCCATTTCTGTAGACATGATGGGAGGGAGGTGAGACTGGATTGACCGAAATTAAAGGCTCGAGAAGGGTGGATAAAGGGAGGGATTTTGGTCCAAGGTGGGCTGTTCAATGACCAAACTGTTGCAATGCGATGGATCTTCGCGAAGCTTGCGGTGTGCTTATGTAATCGAATGATATCCAACGACGGTCAATGTTGATGGCCATTTTCTACTACTCTCAATGCCACCAATATTCGTCAAGATTAATTATCGACAGAAGTATGAAATAGGACTTGTGAGGGGAAGGTTTATGTTTGACTAATATGTAGAGGCTTCTCCCGAAAGCCGTTCATAGCACTTTCATATACGCAGTATAGTATATTGCAAAAATGAACTACTAAGACGCAAAGAAGAGCAGATTCGCGATCTACAAATCAGGGGAATTGCAACAATGGATAAAGTTAAAGTATTGGAAATTTATATACAGCTCTAGTGACTGCTCATCAGTTGGATGTATCACAGTGAAAATAAATATATGCTAAACGCAAGCAGATAGGGTCAACTAAAACTACTGAGTAGGTATCTAGATGCTCATAGCTGAAAGATACAAGAATTGCAATAACGAAATGCTCATAAAAATAGATTGGAGATATGTAATACTTCTACAAGGATCTGAGGGGACAAAACAGGCTCATTTCCAGTAGCTTGCTCGGCTGTATCCCATGTACTGGATACCTTTTACCGACCAAGTCCCGCCTGCAAATGTTGTTATCCACATGAAAGTTTCTCCTGGTTACAAATTTCAACCGTCTCTTCACTGAGTGGGCTATCGTTTACCAGTACTTACTAGCGGCATATTATAGCGCTTGGATTTGTTCTCTATGACCACCCTCATCCTTTCGCAGAGAAAGATAACATAATGTCAATGAACGGGGTAGATATGAGGGATTTATGGGACTCTCTGTTAAAGACACAGAGAAATCTAAGCCGTGAGATATCCACTGCCATCAATTATTGTACTGACACCAGTAGTACTTTGTAAACATGTCATGGATTCCTGTGTTCCTGCTGAGGATGGTCTGTTAGATCTAGTCTGAGTAGCTGAGAGCTGATAGAAGAGCTTTCCCTGTGTACTTCTTGCTACTGTAGGAACAGAGATTTGGCTGGATATCAGTGAATCGATGCCAGCCCCTCGATGTGAATGTGATAAAAACAGTGACAACATGAGTCCCGTCCTCAATCTAGCTGCCCCCGTGGCCTTCTTCTCCTTTTTACTTGCTCATTATCATCGATATAGACAAGCTGTTAACCAGATATCGAAAGACACCACCATTCTCCTCTCAATCTCAGGCGAAACTTTCATTTATTGAGCGATAAAGAGAGACTGCGCCGCGATGAGCGGCAAGTCAGTCTCGAATCTACCCTGGTGAGCTCGATTTTCGGCAATTTCCTCTCCATAAAAGCAATAATCAGTCCTCTAACAAATCAATATTCTGACAGCGACGATCCCCAATGCTTCTGCCATTTCCGCTCGCCTAAGCCATATCCTAGGATCGAAGCAGTTCTGACAGGCTCCGCACCCGACCAGGTCCGCGAGCTGCACCAGCCAAACAGCAAGCTCGATATAGCATTCGACGTGGTAGGCTGTGTCATGACATTGAACGAATGCATCCACGATCCTTCTCGACCAAGCATTGGCTACTCAGTCAGTCTGATGATCAAGGCGGCAAACACCCACTTCGTAAACCTCGAAGGCCTTGAAGACCACTCTCTCCTTCTAACCATCCGAATCCGCCATTCAGCATGCGCCGTGAGAGGCAACAAGATGATACTGAAAGAAAAGTTCAACGGATACTACCCTGACCCTCCATATAGTCGACTCTACAATGATCTGTTCGAGTGCCGTTGGCCTGAAAAGACGCTCCAGGTTCATCTACCTGAGGAGAGATGTCGACGCTGGAAGACAGTCGCTTTGATATTGAGGACTTTCGGGCAGATCAATGGAGACAGCTACTGTCATATGGCGAATATGATGTTTACTCCTCGAGTGGGTGGGCTTAATGTGCGTCATATCAAGAAGGATATCAAGATGGAGCTAGCGAAGAGTGATCATAGGCGAAGGGAGAATCCTGTGTCTCCTGAGTACACGGTTACGGTTAACGAACCGGAGAAGATTGAGAGGCTTAATCATGCTTATGAGGTTCATCTTCTTGCGTTTATTCACAGCTCGTCTCGATTTCTTCGGCCACAGTACCTGTAGGCTGTCTACCGAGTACGGAGAGCTTGTGTGGAGAGCTTTGCTATGGCAGAATGCAGTTCTATTTGTCATGATATCGTGGTGAAGTTTGCTGATGGGATTCAAGGTACATAGTTCAGGCGTCTGGCGTCCAGTGTTGCTTTTCTTTCCTAGGGACAGGATGATTGAAGATTTGCCGAGATGAAATGTATCGGGGACTGCGCAAGTTGTTGAAGATTTGCCAGTGGTTTTACTTTTACACGAGGTACGATGTCATGAAAAAGGAAGCTATGTGAATTTGTGTTGGATGATATGTTTCAATAGCCGGAATTTCCACAAGTTTGGCTGCGAGCCTTCTGAATGATATGTGAGTAGGCTGAAGAAGAAAGGAAGTACGTCTAGCCAAATGACATGATACGAATAACCTAATTCAAGTTCATAGAACTATTGAATGTAATGGGGTCAACAATGCCTATTTCATGCTGGGAAGCTTCATCACACGTTCTTCGATCTACTTACTGAGGCACACTGCCAGTGTGAACCCTCTTAGGCAAAATTAGGAGCGACAATGCTTGATATATATCTTATAGGCTACCTCAAATTCGGCCTTGTAATCCGCCTAACAACCCCCCACGAACCCTCACCCTCACCCTCACCTAGCACGACCGCTACACCCGCCTAAAGATCCTCCTCTTCAAGCACGAGCTCGGGCTACCAAGTGTACGAAATAGCAGAGTACCTGCAAGTAACGCCCCGAGTAGTTACCTACACGCTTCAAGCAGGCCAGCCATCCAACGCCCAAGAAGCCGTGCGGAAGACCACTCAAAATCCAAGGGCGTGAGGCACAACACGTCCTGAACTGGCTTCGTAAGTAGTTCAGAGCGCAATTGTTGGTTGACCAGGAGCAGGGACTTGATTGCACGCCGCGAGCGCTGGGGCGTGCGCTGTGCCAGATTGGTTATAAATGTGATGTGGCGCTGAGGGAGGTTCTGCCTGGGGGAGGATTGTTGGGATTATGGTGAAGGAGTGGGCTGGAGAGGTATGATGGGGGAGTGAGGGATTGGGGCTGGGGGATAATATGATGTCATTTGTATATTTCTATTAATAGGTGCAATGGTATGAAGATGTAGGGCTACAATCTAGCTTTACGATGGCAGTATGTACTTCCTACGGATAGCTTTGAATGTGTTCATGTGATGGATTAAGAGTGGAGATTAATTGGTTTCCACCTCTAGGTATCGACAAAAGTAAGTTCCATCGGATTTCTCTGTCGCCACGGTCCCTTGTCACCGGGAACGGCGTGGCTGACCCATGACCTCGTTGGCCAAAGGTGCAGACAGATAGTGTGTGCCCTTCCATATACAGGCTGAATTATTTGGTGGAAACCATGCAGCAAATACTAATACAATCGAATTTTCAGAAAGACAAATGCCACTTAGTTCCGAATCATCGTAGTGTCCGAGACCGTGTATATTAGGGTGCTGAGTGCAATGAGATGCTCATGCATTTGGGCACCCTGGCGTTACACCAGGGCGATCACAGAGTTGCAAATGCGAAATGCGTTTACCTCCGGTTGTTCTGGCGCATGCCCAGGATCTGGACCATACGGACGAAGATGTTGATGAAGTCCAACTCAAGGCTGATACTCTCGTTGACGACATCCTTGCGGACCAGGCCTCTCTGAGCCATGCGAGCGTGGTGGAGGATCTTCTGGACATCATAGAGGGTGAAACCACCGAAGACAGCGAGACCACCGTACAGCCAGATCTTCTCGGACCACATCAGAGCGCGGGTGGCAGTAGCGGGGAGGACAAGAGGAGCAAAACCGGAGAGAGCGACAATGGTCACACCAGCGAGCAGAGGAGCACCAAGGTACATGTACTTCTCCTGCTTGGCAGTGGCACCGACGAAAGCGATGGCACCCATCATTCCAGCGGTGTAAAGACCAGCGCGAGCAAGAATAGCCGGGTGCATGAACATCAGGGGAGACAGGAGCGCGGCCTGGGTGACGTTGAAAGCGGCCCAGAGACCATACTTCTGGACGTAGCTAGTGATTTGTCAGAAAAAGATCACATAGGAAAAAGGATGCGTTGGCGAAGGACTTACTTGTCAGGGTTCGTGTACAGAGTACCATACATGGTTCCGACGCTGGCAACCAGACCAAGACCGATAACAGCCCAGGGGCTGGCAGCCATCAAACGGTAAGACCATCCGTTGGTGTGCAGAGCGCGAGCAGCGATACCAATGATACCAATACCAAGTCCAGTGTGCATAAACGTCTCGTTCAGGTAGCTGCGCTCAAACGGAGGCATGCCACCATCCTCTCTGGTTTCGCGGTTGAAGATGAAGTTCGTGGCCAGGATAGTACCACCGATGATGGTGGCGCCGTAGATCAGCTTCTGGGTGATGTTGCCACCCTGAACATTGTAGGAAGGCTGCATGTAGGTGCGACGGAAAGCATTTTGGAAGGTCTGACGGGACTTTGCGAAGATGGAGATGGGACTGGTAGGCTTAGACTGGGGCTTGAAGGGCGTGTTGTGGATGAAACGGGCGCTATTCGCAGGTTTGGAGATTTGCCGAAGCGCCGTAGGAACGGCGAACGGGCGTCGCAAGAAGAACGCCATGATTGTGACGATGATGTCGAGGTTGTTGGAGATGAGGAGAAGCGATGGAGAGCGGCGGATGGCCGGCTATAAGAATGATATCAGTCATCCGTCGGCCAGCCGCTACGGTCGCCCGAACGTTCGAGAAGTGAAGTCACGTGGGAATGAGCGCGTCGTGACTCAGCATCACCGCCTCGGCGATAAGTTGGCGGGGGAGGGGAATTATCAGGATTTAGGACTTAACGGACTTGCACGGCCACACTGCTATTGTCATCATCTCGGCCCGGAATTCTACAACTGCGTACTCTCTTCGATTCCGTTCTCGATAATTCCCTTTTGGACTTCACCTCTGCGTCACTATTCCCATCATGTCTGCGCCATTATTAGAAACCATCCACCTTTCGCATCTGCCTCCGTCGATGCCCGTGCATGTCGCTCTATATCGGGATGTACAGAATGCTCCATATCTTCGCCAGCAGCTCATGTCCGCCAATGCGGAATTCGAGTACGCTTTCATTGATGCAAGCACGGTACGAAGTCAGTATGTCTCTTGGCGGAGCGACAGCTAAACATACTGCAGGTCCTCTCAAGAACACACCTTCTCTCCGCAGTTTTCAGAGCAGTCAATGATTATATGAACGGCCGCCTCAAGTCTCGGAATGTGCATTCTGAGATGGTCTTTTCGCTAAGCCCCGCGACAAATGTACGTCTACAATCAGCTACCAACCGACTTCATGGGCAATGCTGACCACATCTAGATTGCTGAATCTTTCCGCAAGTTCGGCATTACCGATTCCACAAAAGACCTGCTAGTAGTCAAGCTTTCCGTGACTCCGGAGATTACCCACGACTCGGTCGCAGACCATCTCGGACAAAATGTTGAAGGAACGCCTGTGCCATTCGACGACGAAACTCTGTCAAAGATTTCCGACATTGCAAAGATCAAGAAGGCCTACAAGCTGGGAGCGTTGAACACTACGCCGCCGAACCAAGCAAACGGCACCCAGGATAATGGCATGCGCCGGCTCGAACTGTCCGTCCTGGGAGCGATTGCTCTGCGCGGAGCGACTTGAACATGATCTTGGATATAGGAAGTTTTTATCATACCTGATCTCGCTCGTTTGGGTAACCAGAGCCCTGTAAATCGGGCCAGCCATATGCAGAATGTCTGCACCATCCGACAGTCAGAACTTCTGGCTGATGCCGTTTCGAAATATTTGCGCCCAGGAGCTACCTCTGTGCAGATAGATGTCTGGCAAGAAATATCCATGCAAGATATGTCTATTAGGATCACGACCTGTACATAGAACGCAGGGCCGTCATTCATAGTCGGTGCGGAGCACTGATTACGGCTCTTTTTCTACACAAAAATAATACTTTAGAAGATGCTATATGTTCTATATTCCTTTGATATATAACCAAGTAATACATCACCTTAATAGTTAAAACGAAGAACATACCTCGGTTGCCCTGCCCACCACATCCCCCATCCCAAAGCGGCAATCATGCAACTTTGCCAAGCCCGGCAACTCTCTCCGCATCATCGCGACTGAATCGATCTAGACACCCACCGTCCGGGGCTCACGCATATAGCATAACACCATGCTCACTAGCGCAGGGGAGAATCATTCTTAGCGTACAACACTCACCAACCGAACGCGCGCTAATGTCGACCGAGCGATCGTCCTGATATTTGTTGCGCCTCGCCACCATGTCCGCCACCGCGGAGGTCCTGGTGCTTTCCTCTTCGCCGGAGCGCAATCCAGTCCATACGCCCGCGCCGCCTGCATATGATCCCGAAAGGCTCTTCGGATTGTCTCCAGTAGACGTCGAAACGACTTCGATACCGTCCCCGTCTGAGTTATTCTGTCCTCCGACGCATTCTAAGTTTTTCGAGGTTGGGAACCGAGTCGATGAATCGCGCCGCAAGGGATTCCGCAAGAATTCCAGCAACTTGACGAATGATGAATCGGCTGTTATAACGCTAGAGGAAGAACCGGCAGCAGATAAACCGAAGCGAAGGGGTAGGCCAAAGAAGGAGCAGAAGAAGGCTGCGGAGGAGTCGGGGTCGTCTGTCGTGGGCAACGAGAAGACTACTGCGAAGAAGACTACGACAGGCGCGAGTAAGAAACGCGCCGAACCTGCGACAAAGCGCTCGAAACCGGCAAATAAGACGATTTCTGGGAGGGTTGCGAAGGCAGGCAGTTCACAACCTAAGGAGGCTGGCGAGAAGGCCATTTGTCCGTTGACGCCACCGGCTGTTCTGTCCCAGAAGACTATGAAGGATGTGCTTGATTGGGAAAGGGATGGTTTACAGCTTGAACGAGCGATGGCGAGGAGATTGGACTGGACGCCTACAACAAGTAAGGCTAAGGAAGTCGTTCAGTTGAAAGGGAAGTCAGGGCCAGATGATACTACGAGGGGCTTTGGTAGTCTGCTGTCAGAGTATGGGTTCAATGGGTCTGCTGCTCCTGCAAGCGACTATGCGGCATCGGCCGATGGTGGGCCGACTAAACGAAGGCGGATAGAGCTGGTTGATCCCGGTGTATATCCTGCTTCCAGGCAAAGTGTTGCCGACGATAGTGAGAAGGATAGCACAGAGGGAACCCGCAAGTCAACACCGGCTGCGCGAAAGAAACCCACGCAGCGTGCCAAGAAGTTCACCACGCTCACTGCCCGTGTGACAGCGAAGTATATCAACGAGTCTACAGAGGGTTCAGATGTCGTGGAGGAAGAGACACCGAAAGCGAAGCCTAGAGCTTCACGATCTAAGAAAAAGGGCCAGGAACCCGAGTTTGTGGTGCTCTCCCCTGATAAAGCCGCCAAATCCCTCGATGACCAGGAGCTGGTGTTCGGCACGTGCAGCCAGCTGGAGCGGGAGGACTCGCCCACTACTATAAGAGAGCTGCAGGCAGCTATTAGCGAGTCGGAACGGAGCATGACACTGGAAGCCGGCGGTCGTCCGCACCGAATGCAGAGCAGGGCATCTTCTGCAGTATCGCGTTTCAATGGCTCAGGAAACTTGTGGTCAGTCGCATCTCGAGATGTCGACGGTTCACTAATGCAAGTGGAGGTGGTGGATCTCATCGATTCGCCTGATAGATCTGGGATTACTACTCCGGATGAGCTACCTAGCATTGCCAGGGAAGGAGCTGAAGCCGAATGTAATACCAGCGATTTTAGCCCTACTCAGAAAGATAGTGTCCAGGCGAAAGCCACCTTGGCGAGCGAAGCACAGCCTATTATACCTGCTCCGACCACCCAGACAACGAACAAGAGGGCTCAGAATACCACATCCGTTGCCCGCAAATCTGACCCTAAGATGCCGCAATACGAGAACTTCACAGATGCCCAACTATCGAAACAAGCCGCCTCATTCGGCTTCAAACCACTCAAAAACCGGAAGAAGATGATCGAGCTGCTCGAAAAGTGCTGGAAAGCAAAGAACGGCATACCATCAGAGATGAATGACGAAAACGCACAGCAGGATCTGTCTGCGGACCCTGCACCAGTGCCTGCCCCGGGCAATAAGCCAAAAGGAAAAGGCACGACACGGAAAACCACCACGAAGGCGAAAACCAAATCCCAACCCAGTACATCATCAAAGTCAACAACAGAAGCCATATCAACAATAACAAAATTCACCCACTCAAGTAACCCCAACTTCAACATCATACCCTCAACATCACCTCCCAAACCGCCCCCCTCCTACGCCAACGTCGAAGAAATCGAAGACTCCGAAGACGATTCCGACCCTATCCCTTTCCCATCCCCCAGCCGCCTCCTACCCAAAACCCTCCAAACGAAGCACAAACACGCCCCCTCCCTCCCCACATCCAACATACCATCTAGTCCCAACCGAACAACAACCACATCCATCCCCAAAGACCCAAAACCCCCCGCCATCCTCCTCCCCCTAACCGAGCAAATCTCCAAGGCTGTCCGCGCCCAATCCGCAACCCGGGCTGCATCATCCCACACACAGAATACTCACACGAGGAAACAAACCTGGCACGAGAAAATCCTCATGTACGATCCTATTCCTTTGGAAGAGTTTACCACCTGGTTAAATACAGAGGGATTGGGTCTTGTGAATGAGGACCGGGAGGTCGGGGCTGGGTTCGTGAGGAGGTGGTGTGAGAGTAAGGGGGTGGTTTGTTGTTATAGGCCGAAGAAGAGGGAGTGATGTTATTCTCTTTTTCTTTCAATATAGATTATTTTGGATTTGGAGTGGGGTTCGTGCATCGGAAGCTACACTAGATTATCCTTGTGTCGATTTTGGGAGGGAGTTGGTTTATCGTGGAGTTATGGTTGCATGGCTGCATACTAGAGACCTTGGATTAGGTTAGGGTTGGGTCTGGTCTGGCTTCACTGGTGCCGTGGTTTGATTGGTTCACAGCCTGGAAATACTATACCCTTTTGCTTAATCTCGAATACCATCACTAAAGGTAGAGTATCTACTAATAGCCAGCATACAGAAGACTTCCCAACATTTTCTATATCATGTGATTAGAATAGAGGTAAACGTAGGTATCATTTCAAACAGCATTGCATGTTCCATTCATTCGGAAGCCAAGAAAGGAAAATAAGAATATTAAACAGACGTTATCCCAAAACTAACAACCTAACCATCAAACAACCCGAAAACATTATCAGCTCGTGACCATTTCATATCCATACTCATTCATCATATATCTTCCCAAAGTAAAATTCACTAAGATCTTTCTCACCATATAGTATATACCTCCCCGCATAGGAGGGAGACTTCCCCCCATACCACTCTCATGTCAAATATCTCCAAGCCTAGCTTAGCCTAGAGGGAAAAGCCTAAAGAGGATAGTAGTAGTAACTAAACAAGCAAGTAGTAGATAACTATTTTGGAATAGTATGTCCACAAAAAGAGAAAATCTCAAGCAACTTTACACCTCCTTAGATACCATACCCTCTACCACACAGATCCCAACATCAACGTACCCAGAATCTAACACTATTCCCCACCCAACTATAGTCTACTACTACTGCTGCAGCTGCTTCTTCCTCCTCCCACCCCTCTTCGCCTTCTTCTGAGGCACATTATCAGTAGCAGCAGTAGTAGCAGTAGCAGTAGTAGCAGTAGCCGCAGAAGTCGGGGGCTGCGAAACGCCCGCCGACGAAGAAGGCACACCACCACCAACCAAACTCATACCTTCGTGTGGGTAGCCCGCAGCAGCAGCACCCCCGGGCATGCTCGCCCATGCTAGAGCGGCGGCGGCCTCAGGGCCATAGAGACCGAACTCATTTGAGCCCAAGTACTGAGTGAGAGCATGGTCGGATATTTCGGGGTATGTGGAGCCTGCAGCGAGTTGGGGGTCGTCTTGACCCTGATCGTAGGGGTAGTGGGTTGAGTAGCCGGGGGTGTTGATCTGGGGGAGGGTTTCGTAGTTGGTGTGCTGGCTTTGTTTGGGGGCGGCCATTTGTTGTTGTTGCTGCTGATGCTGATGTTGTTGCTGCTGTTGCTGGTATTGGTACCGGGCGAGGTCTTCGAGGGCGCTGGGGTGGACTTGTCGGGTGGATTGGGTGTACATGTTGTTAAGGTTGTTGTTCTGCATGTTGGTGTTCTCGGGTCGGGGGAACTGGGTGGAGGCGGAGGATTCGGTTGCAGGTGGTGCTGGAATGGTGCTAGAGGTCTGCGCAGCAGCATGGCGTTGCTGTTGCTGTTTTTGCTGCTGCTGCTGCTGCTGCTGCTGCTGCTGGAAACCCGGAGGAGGGGCGAAGAAGGGCTGATTAGGCATGTATGGAGTGCCAGGTGGGAAGTTGGAGAATTGGCTTGCTGCCAGCTGGGCGAGTTGAGCGTTGTAAGTGGGATCTTGTGGCAGGCCAGCCTGCTTCGGAAGCTGGCCCATGTTAACCTGCGCATAGCGACCCTGATAAGCCGCGGCAGGGGGAGTTGTGGGATATTGTATAGTTCCCTGTTGACGGCCCGTCGGGTGTGCGGGCCTGGTGCCATTATCAACATGGCCGGGCATGGCTCCGTTCTGCTGTGGTCCAGAAGGCCCCTGTGCTTGGGCCCTGGAGTTTCTTCCAATATGCTGTT